AAAAAAAAAAAAAAAAGAATATTAGGACTTCTACTATATATTTCTTATTTAGAATTTTAAATATGAAGATCACATAAATGATATATATTTATATGATAGCTGTATAGAAGCTAAAGAAACCCATTCATAAAAACTCATTCAGAGAAGTAGGAATGATTCTAACATTTCAAAAATCATTTTATAACTTCAAAATACGTTCACACAGGGCAATCCAGCTGTTCTAGGTAAGCAATTCTATTTTACCTTTCCTGGGATGAAGCAACAGAGATTTGAATCCACATACTTCATGAAAGTCATATTTAATAGTGACAGCCTTGTTTCAACAGCAGCAAGAATGTCTGCATGACGAGCTAATGAGTGGTTTCTCCTTTCTGACTCTCTCCTATGACGATAATTTAAAAAAGCAACCATTAAAGCAATACCATGGACTAAAATGTTAAGCAATCAAAATGCCTTAATGAAATAGCCTAACCTTTACATGTTAGTTTAGAAATCTACAATTGGGTTGTAATTTAACTGTAATGAGGAATGAATCACTATGCCCAGAAATCCCTGCCAACAACTAGTATTCATTGACAAAATATTTGGAAAAAACTTTTTTTTTTAAAAGAATTTTTTGTTGTTGTTTTGTTTTATTTTTTGGCTATATCAAGCCTGATGGCTATTAGAATCAGAGAAATTACATAAATGAAAGAATTACACATGGACATACAGGCAAGAGACTATTTTTTTTGCCCATAAAATATAGCACCTTTAAACTTTTTTAACTATTTGAGAAATAATTCACATATAATAAAATTATTTTAAAGTGTACAATTTAGTGGTATTTAGTATATTCACAGAGTTGTACAACTACTACCACTATCTAATTTCAGAACATTTCATCACCACAAAAAGCAAGCCCATAACCATTATCAGTCACTCCCATTCTCCCAGCTCTTGGCAACTACTAATCTACTTTCTGTTTCTATGGGTCTGCTTATTCTGAACATTTCAGATAAACAGAATTATATACTATGTGGCCTTCTGTTTCTGGCTTCTTTCATTTAGCACAGTTCTCAAGGCTCATTCATGTTGTAGCATGTACCTTTCATTGCTGAATAATATTCCATTACACGGATAGACCATCACTTTGTTTATCTATTCATCAGCTGATGGACACGTGGGTTGTTTCTACTTTTTGGCTATTATAAATAATTCTGTTGAAAACATCTGTGTACAAGTTTTTGTGTGGACGTATGTTTTCATTTCCCTTGGGTATATACCTAGCAGTGAAACTGCTGGGTCATATGGT